TGCAACTGAAGTGCTACTGATCTCCCCTTTTCAAGCATTAAGAAGTTGAAAAAAACTAAGCCTAACTGTAATTACTGTAACACTTCATCAAGCTAATCTACTGGAATACCATAATGAGACAAGCTCCAACCCAAAGGGACACAAGAGCCTCCAGGCCACACCATACTCTAACAGGACAGTATTATCGATAGAAATTTGTTACGGCACACTACACACTCTGAAGTTACCACAGTAAAGGTGTCTTCTTAAAACCTTCCCAGTGCGTCCTATGCACAGATCATCAAACCAGTAAGGCACTTAACTGCACGTATCCAAGTCCCACAGATTCAGGCTGAGATCTATAGAATAGTGATTAATTGGGGCTGAATGACAAATGCCGGTAGCTTATTGCAGTGCCTATGGCTGCTCTGGATTCCAGGTACTGCCCTGCTCCCACTGCAGGGATAACTCAGCTGCTTGGGAAACAACACTGCGTACTTAGGTAAACTACCCCTGCTTTTACTTTGGATACAGAAGGCTGCAATACGTGCAGTTCCGTAGCTGCTATACATGCAACAGGCTTGCTCTATAGCATCGGTGGGGCAGTCAGCACGAGGAAGGAACAGGCACAGACAGCCCAAGGTAGCCCTGTTTCATTTGGGAAATCAGGCCCATAGGATACAACCTGCTTACCCTGCAATGTGCTCTGTATGGCCAGCAGGCAGGTTTTTTTTTTCTTTCAAAATAAACAACTCTTTTACAACAGCAGCATTGTTTTTAATGGCACTTAAGCACCTAAATGCATCTGAAGATCTGGGCCAGAGAGAACTGACAGCTTCTATTCCCTATTGACACAAATGACATGAAGGATAAAGTTGTACATGGCTGTATTTGAGTCGGTAGTGACAGTACAATAAAGATACCACCTGTTAAGGCAGGGAAAATGAGCAACTGAATCAGAGAGGCTTGCACTCGCGCAGGATGCATTGATCCCACATTTGAAGTGCCTCCGTTACTAGCCTGAAGCATGGCTTCAAACAGTTTCAAACCTCCTACTTAAAAGCAGTTGGGAGCAAGAGGATTTTTCTCCTGTGTCATGTTTAATGATGATCAACACTAGATACACATGCACAGCAGAACCATGATAGCTGAGAAAAGGTGTGGTTAAAAACCAAGCCAGACCAGACCCCCCACGGCAGGTTGGCAGAAAGCTCCGCTGGGCTCCACGTTTCCCAGCTGTGACAGCGCCAACCATTGCTACATCCAGTCAATACAGCACGACCTGGGACTAAATGTGATGGGAGAAGGAAGCAGAAGTCGATAATAATTCTCAGAAAATGTATCTGCCTGGTAGCGGTTCTGTGGGTATGCGCTACCTCTGCAACCCTCGAGTGCAAACAAACACTTTATGTAATAGAGATACAAACCATCCACCGCAGCCCGTAAAACAGCGAGGCAGCTGTGTTATTAACCAAATCCCATGCTTTAAAAAGCCCTGTTAGTTTTGCATCAAGCAAACTGTCAGGTGCATTCTGCTTCCTTTATTTCTCAGGTAAGTACGTGCGTACCCTCAGTGCGAAGTTACTGCAGTGAGTTAGTACCAATGCTCTGCTTGTGCTGTTTGGAAAATGGACTTTGGAAAAGTTTGTAAAATGCTTTGGAAATCGGTTTGTTCCTACTGGATTAGGAGGGAAATTAGTGTTTGTTTCCAATTATCTCACAAAATTCCTGCAAGCCAGGTACATCTTCCACCAGCCCTCAAAAGCAACACAGCCTCGTAGAAGCAGTGACGGCTGCGAGAGGCAACTAGTGGGTCACCTTTGATGACACAGGCCAGTAGGGCAATATTCGGAACACATAAATGCTGAAACCGGCCTCTTTTTTGAGTCACCCCGTCTGTTTAAGTGAATTTTTAGGCGAGGGAAATAGAAACATCCTTTCCAGCAGAGGTGTGTGTCAGGAACCACGGGGCTCCCCACCCACCACCGAGCCCACCCCGA